TATTTTCCTTGTGTCTTTGGTGTTCTTTATTCTCCTTTGCTCCAGGTGGGTTGGGACCAATTGATGCATCTTAGATGCCACTCGCCAAAGTGGGATGCAGAACATTTTCTTAATAAACTTTATTATGCCAGTTGACCCAGATGTTCCACGAAACCATGGTCCCTAGCCCCCAGCCCCTGCTACTCTGTCCCTTAAAGTGTTTGGTTGTGTTCAGGAAACTTCTTAGCTTTTGGTTTAGTCCAGTTGTGCTGACTTCCCCTGTATTGTGTGTTGTCCTTCCCTTCACCCAAAATAATTCTTGTCTACTATCTAGTCAGTGAATTCCCCTCTCCCTCCCTCCCCACCTTCGTAACCATCAAAGAATGTTTTCTTCTTTGTTTAAACCTTTTCTTGAGTTCTATAATAGTGGTTTCATACAATATTTGTCCTTTTGAGACTAATTTCATTCAACATAATGCCTTCCAGATTCATCATGTTGTGACACGTTTCTTGGATTCATCATTGTTCTTTATCAATTCATAGTGTTCCATTGTGTGTATATACCATAAGTTGTTTATCCATTCATCTGTTGATGGGCACCGAGGTTGTTTCCATCTTTTTGCCATTGTGAACAGTGCTGCAATGAATATGGGTGTGCATATATCTGTTCATATGATGGCTCTTAGTTCTTTAGGATATGTTCCAAGGAGTGGGATTGCTGGATCCTCTGGTGCTTCTATTTCTAGCTTTTTCCAAATGATTGTACCATTTTACATTCCCACCAGCAGTGAGTAAGTGTTCCAGTCTCTCCACGACTTTTCCAACATTTATTATTTTGTGTTTTTTGGATTAGTGCTAGCCTTGCTGGGGTGAGATGGTATCTCATTGTAGTTTTGATTTGCATTTCTCTAACAGCTAGTGATCTCGAGCATTTCCTCACGTATCTGTTAGCTGCCTGAATGTCTTCTTTGGTGAAGTGTCTGTTCATATCCTTTGCCTGTTTTTTAATTGGGTTATTTGTCTTTTTGTTGTTGAGGTTTTGTACTGTCTTGTAGATTTTAGAGACTAGACTCTGATGGGGTATGTTGTAACCAAAAACTTTTTCCCAGTCTGTAGGTTGTGTTTTTACTCTTTTGGTGAAGTCTTTTGATGAGCGTAAGTGTTTGATTTTTAGGAGCTCCCAGTTACTAGTTTCTCTTCTGGTGTTTGCGCATTGTTAGTTATGGTTTGTATTCTGTTATGCCATGTATTAGGGCTCCTAGGGTTGTCCCTATTTTCTCCCATGACCTTTATCATTTTAGATTTTACATTTAGGTCTTTGAACCATTTTGAGTTAGTTTTTGTACATGGTGTGAAGTATGGGTCTTGTTTCAGTTTTTTGCAGATGGATATCTAGTTATGCCAGCACCATTTGTTAAAGAGACTGTCTTTTCTCCATTTAAGGGACTTTGGGCTTTTGTCAAATATCAGCTGCTTATTGGTTGACTTTTGAAGTTGATTGCCAGGCCTTTCTTCCTAGTCTACCTGAGTCTGGAAGCTCTGCTGAAACCTGTTCAGCATCATAGCAACACGCAATCCTCTAATGTTGGGTACATAGTAGTTGTACATGAGATGCATTGGCCAGGAATCAAACCCAGGTGTCCGGCCTGGTAGGTGAGAATTCTACCACTGAACCACCAGTGTCCCCTGAGGAAGGTAGTAGTCCACTGTAACTGTGAGAGAGAACATTGTGTAAAAGCTGGAAACATCCAATGGGGTCAGATTATAGCGGGTTGGGAGTGCTGGGCTAAGGAATTTGGGCATCGTTCATGGTGATGATGATGAAGATAGTGGCATCATTGGGTTGCCTGAAAGTGCACAGCCAGAGCTCCTGAGATGCCAAACCTAGACACTTGGACATGATCTAATGACCTGGGAGAGTGGTGCTTCCAAGTAGCTGTCATCACGGAGCATGTGAGGCTTTTAAACCACTTCCTGCCTTGGATTACTTACTGATACCCACGTTTTCCTTGTGTCCACCCATCAGAGGCTTATAAGAGGGTTGAAAAGTTAGTGTTTGCGGAGTCTTTTGCCATGATTACCTGAGTCATAGTAAAATGTTATTGCTAAAAAGACATGATTATTACTAAGGAAGAAAAAAAAAAATAGCACCCCAAGTGTGGGAGGTGGGAGCCTAGCCTCTTCACCGAGGTCTACCTCTTTTAAACCTCTTATTCCTGGGCTGCCAAACTCCTTCGTGTCTATGACGTGAGTTCCAACAGAAAGCAGCGAAGAGAAGATTGTGGGCAAATTCTCCTGTCACGATGCTGAGATGCCATCTGCTTGCAAAGCTGAGGACTTAGTGTTGCCCCTGAAAGATTCGTACAGCATATTAATCAAGGCATTTCTGGGCTGTTTTTTTGGGGGGTGGGGTGGGGTGGGGGAAGTATTTTGAATCATACTAACAAATAATGTAGTAAAATGAACATTCCATCTCCCTATAAATCCCTTAGCAACATTCCGGATTTTACACTTTCTCCTTAAACTGTAGCCTTTGCTAACCACCCTGTTTTCTAACCCAAACTCAAAACTTCAGCAGAACTTGGCAGACCTATTAGATATGAGTCTAATGAACTTGT